AAGTCCACACAATTCTGTTTAGCAGAAGTAATTTGGGGCAGGAAGGGTGCAGACAATTTTAGTATGTAACAGTATTTATAGGGAATGTATCTGTCCCTAAAATCTGGTTAGGAATACTAGGGTGCAAAGACAGTTATTACAGGAAAACTAGGCAGGTAAAGACAGGTTTTGCATTTAAAAAATTGCACTTTTGTGAGGAATGGAAAGAATCTGCAAAGGAAAGTTGGGGTTTTTCCCGTCTACCATCTTTAAAATAAACTTCAGAAAGTACCTTTCTGAAATACTTGTGGATAGTAACTGCAAGATACTGGATTCAAGTGCAAATGTTTACCATTTTTTTCACTGCTGTTATGGATGAATAAAATCTTAAAACAATGGAAAGTCATCCTTTTGAAATCCACACTGCAGTGTCTCCTACTTTACATAATCATGCAACCAACCAACTTTTCAATGTGGTCAAGTGTTCAAGCACTGAGTTGAATGTGCACTTGACACTTGTTTTGTGATGTGAGTTGTGTTGTGATCATGGTGACTGAAAACCATGGGCACCATGTCAAGCATTTGCTAAACAACTTTGACATGAAAAACGACCCTTTTTAAGGCCTGCCTCCTGTAACTAGGAAGTCAGAGCTAATCAACAGAGAAGACTTCTCTGTTCTAAAGACGTGGTTAGGTTGGATTTCAGGAAGAAACATACTGTTATGAGACTGTACTCTTTAAGGTGGGATGGAAATATCAGAGCTGGTAAGGATTTTCTTGTGAAGTAACAATGCAATATAAAATGTACATAATTTTATAAAGGTAATATTTCTATTTTTCAGATAAATAGTTTAAGATAAATGGAATATTAATTATTATTAAAATGGCTCAAAATAAAGCATTCAAACTACATAGCTATTACAACAGAACTATTTCAGATGCCAGTTTTAGAGTGAAATATGTAACAATTTAGGCTTTTTTACTAGAATATATATCATGCCAATGTTTAATACATTCTGGTTTTGATAATTCTGATGAAGTTTAATTACTCTTAGAAGTAGTGAATCTTCTTCAGGGAAAGTGCAAAACCGGTTGTCTAAAACAGTCCATAAGTTTACAGGGTACATTACTGACCCAAATCCATTTCAGAGCTAGTTTAAGAAGCTTACAGCTTTCTTCATTCCGCAAGTCAGCAGTAGAGGTTATATAATCCAGGAGCTGAGTATCTTGACAGGGCAGGCAAAGCTTTTGTTTGATGAATCTTTTCCTCTGATCAACAAATTTGATACATACATAACATATGTTTTGTATGTAAAATAAGTTGTTAACACAAGATATTTTGTGACTACAGAAGGTTATTTTTTTTTTCTGTTTTAGAAATAATTAAGACATAACTTCATATTCTAATCAATCTGTAGTAATTCTGATGGAAGACAATTCCTTTCAAACAAATCACTTGGGATTAGAAAATAATTTTCTGAAGACTATGCCTATGCTGGTTATGTTCATGCTTGTGTGCATGTGTGTGTGCCTGCCTGCTTTACACATGAGCAAGTGTAGGACAACTGCAGATGGCTGCAATTGCAGAAACCGTCTTCTAACACAGCTGCTCATGAACTCCTCTCAGCTGGTAACACAAAGCCAGGAAGACCAAAATTTTGGAGTATTTTTACAGAAGAAGCAAGATGGGTGCAAGGGAACATGAGGTGGGGGACAAATGCATGAGTTTCACTCTCTGTGCAAAAAAATATAGTTGGCCCAGAAGATGCAGTAACCAATAATGATAGTACTGCATCTGAGGAGGAAAAACCCCATGTATCAATACAATTTGGGGACTGACCTGCTGGAGAGCAGCTTTGGGGAAAAGGACCTTGGAGTCCTAGTGGACAACAGGCTGACCATGCAGCCAGTAAGGCCAATGGCATCCTGGGGTGCATTAAGAAGAGTGTGGACAGTAGTTGAAAGAGGTTATCCTCTCCCTCTATTCTGCCCTGGTGTGACCACATCTGGAATACTGTGTCCAATTCTGGGCTCCCCAGTTCATAAACAATAAAGAACTACTGGAAAGAGTCCAGTGTGGGGTGACAAAGATGATAGAGGAATGGAGCATCTTGTCTCTGAAGAAAGGCTGAGAGAGCTTGAGCTCTTCAACGTGGAGGAGACTGAGGGAAGGATCTCAAAAATGCTTATAAATATCTAACGGGTGGATGACAGGAGAATGGGTCCAGTCTATTTTTCAGCAGTGTCCAATGACAGAACAAGGGGCAGTGGGCACAAGCTGAAGCATAGGATTCAAGAAATTGAATCAGATCATGTAGACAAAGGAGGGCTTATATCTTTACTATGGTTTTCCCTCTTCATTTCAGCTGGTATCCTTAATGATAAATTAACCTAAAGTATTGAAGAATATATAGACAAGTGTATGCCAGGCTAGGAAACTCTTGCTATCTCTATAAATCTTCCCACACACATGCTGCCTCGTAAGTAGTTAAAAAGAAAAGCTAAAAAAAAAAAAAATAAATACATGTGTACAGTGTAACATTAGAGGCAATGGAAACCAGACACCGTCTTGATGTTTATACTGTTGCTTCTATTTTTTTTGTTCATAGATCCTATTGTAATTCATAGGCTTAGTAATTTCTGTTTAATGGTGAACTGAATGTATGATTATCTTTTCAGCTGTGAATCAAAACTGAAAACAGAAGAATGAAAATAAGAGATAAAATAATAGTACAGAAGTACTACTTAAATGTCTTCAATGGAATTTTCTTGGTAAAGAATCAGTTTCCTTTTCCTTATTTAGCAGCTTCAGATTAAATTTTTTTTTTTAAATGTTTTTGATTAAAACAATAATTCTCCTTTCATTCCAGGCTCTGGGTCTTATGCTTGTCACATTCGGCCTGTGGCTTTTATTTGACAGAAACAATTTTTTCAGTGTGTTATGTGAGTATAAATAGAATTTTTCTTCTGTTTCAGATAATTGCAGGACAAATCAACAGAAGCAGAGATGGTTTCTTTTTTTCACAAGGTGGCAGTATTGGATTGAAATGCATAGGTTGTGTATATTTTCCCACTTTAGACATGATCTAATTATCGAAAAATACGTATCTCTGTGTCTGTCTGTCTGTCTGTCTATCTATCTATCTATCTGTCTGTCTGTCTGTCTATCTATCTATCTATCTATCTATCTATCTATCTATCTATCTATCTATCCTGGTTAGTTAGCTAGTAATTTCTCTTGGTGTACAGCTTTTAGATGAATAAGCTCCATTGATCTTTTCTTTATATAATTTACCAAATTGAATTTGGCCTGCATTTGACAAGATTATAGATCCTTTAGATGGATTTTGGGTGGAATGTACCAAGTTTGGAGATTGGGCCTCTCTATATAGGTATTCCTTTTTCCCAGAGTGTATATCAACTTTTTCATAGAGAAATAAGTTTGTGGTCCATGTAACAACAGCTGTGCTATTACAGAGTTGTCTGCCTTGGCTGTGTGTCCTGGTTTGAGTTAGGAACAGAACCAATTTTCATTTTAGTAATTTTACTTTTTGGTTAAGTCTCTTTTAAGTGACTTCCTGAAATTAACAGCATGATTAACAGTGTCTGCTTTTAGGACTGATAACGCTTGATGTTTATAGTTATTGCAGAAGTAATGGCAGAAGTGTTATGCAGAACGGCTCTTGTTCATTCTTATTCCTATAGTAACCAAAGTCACTTCTTGGTTCACTGAACTTCTTATGTGACACAAGGAGCATCAGTTCCTAACTGATGGGATGTGGACCATCCAATGCAGTAACTCTGGCATGAAGCATTTGATGTGGAAGTAATTAAAACCTCTGCTGCTTTCCATACCTTTGCAAAACTGGTTAAAATGGAAAGAGGAAAGTGACTAGTCACAAAAAGGGAGGATAGCATTGAATCTGAGTCTGGTTTTAATGAGAATTATATGTATGTTCACATAGGATTTGTACATGTGCTGCTAATTTTTGGCAAACAGAAAAAAAAATCTTTAAACTTCTAATTGTTCTCTGATTTCATTGTGAGTGGATCACATTGTTGAATTGAGTATATTCTGTTTACGTCTCATATGTTGTTACCATCCTCTGAATTTATGAAGACATATCTCTTTGTTTCTGTGACTGTAGAAAACATAAGTAATAATAATACCCTTCTCTAATTCTACTGTTTCCATTGTTTAAGTTATGGCATTGCAAATATTTAATTGTTTGGGTGGGTTTTTTTAAGTTTTGTAAGTTGAAGTCTCAAAGAAAAGAGAAGTGACAGTATGAATGCACTGTGTTGCAGTTTCTTCAGGCAAGAACCAGCTAGTGGCATATTTTTCTTATATATTACTTGGAATTGGATCTCTTATTACTTTTACATCAGCTGTGGGATTCTTTGGAAGTAGTATGGAAATCAAATGTCTACTAATTACAGTAAGTGTAAATCAGACTCCAACTTTCTTCTAAAATGAAAGGGAGGTTTTTGTGCATGAAAACTGATCCTGTCTTGATGTTGTGATTTCCATATACAGTGCTTAACAAATCTGCTGATAGAAAGATATTTTTAGATAAACGCCTGGCTCAGATGAAATCTGAGGAAAACTGAAAAAATATCAAGAAATCTGAAGATCCATATCACTACATGAATGTGTTCAATGACAAAACACTTGCAGTTTGATGCAACAAAGATTTTAACAATGGTGTTTATTAACTTAGGAGTTAAAAATGTAATGTAGTATTGAAATAATGCAGATTGTGCTCACATGCTTAGTATGTGCTGAAGAAATTAAGAAAAGACTGCCCCAAAATGTTGCAGGTTGAAGGCACAGGTAGCTACAGTATAGCTACAATTTTGAAATGTAGAGTATGATTAAAAAGCTGTTACCAACACAGACCTACCTGGATACTCCATATTTATATACAATTCCTGTGTTTAAGATAAGAATACTTTGATTTCTGAAAAACTACATTGTAACTACACATTGTTACGATCACTTTGATTACATTTTTCCCTTTTTATAGTCACCCTTTTTGAGGGACCTATTTTAGACTACATAAAGGCTGAAGTAGAAAACTGTTCTACTGATTCATTTGTTAAGCACGTAAGGCACAGCAGTGAGAAGAGTCCAGGTGCTATAACCAGGAATCCTGCTCCTTGTTCTTACCTGCTACAGTAATAGGCATGAAGTGTTTGCCTCACAATTTATTAGATGATGAAAGAGAAAGAAGTGTCTCATTTACAACTTCCATTGAAGTATCCAGTATTGCAATATCTAGATACTGTGGGTGAAAATTTGGACTAACAGAAAAAGAACAAAATCAACTATCTTTCTGTTTTATTTGTGCATCTTATAGCTCAAAGGAGTCCTTAACTAGGCATGATACATAGCTACCATGATAATTCAAACAGGTAATAAATTATTTTCTTCTGTGGAGCACAGCTGTGTAAAAACAGTTTTTTTCTTTACTTCCAAGGAAATTATGGCTTTGTCTTTAAGACCAAAACAGTGAGTTGTGTTTTGCCTGAAGCTTGCCTCTTAGACTGTGATGTCACACTCCCAGGGATTTTTGGAAAAAATGCTTCTTATTTTTGTTGGAATGACTCTAAATAATAGTAATGAAGGACTATATGTGAGCTTCTGGAAATTTTTTATTGCATTGCTCACTTGTTCCATATTATATTTATGCATAATTTGGGTTTGGTTTTTTTGCAGTATATAAGTTTTCAGATCCTGCTGTTTGTTACCCAGATGGCAATATTGGTGCTTATGTTTGTGAAGAAAGAAGAGGTATGTACATAAATTATGTGAGACTGATGATGACTTCAAAATAGTTTCTTGCAATTAATTAAAAAAAAATCTGGTAGCTCTCACTATATGCTGTATCACTGTTGTTTCCAATTTGAGTGTTTTACATGCCAACCTGGCATAGCAAAAAATGTGGAAAACGTAATTTGAGGAATTCAGCACGGATCAAGAGTTGTAAAGGAAAGTGCATAGAAAGAAGATATTTCTAGTTTCTCCCTGCAAAAAAGCATGCTCTTCGTGTTCAGGATTGTGAATTCAAGAGTGTAAGAGACAGCATTATTCCTCTTTGAGGGGTTGCCCTTTAAGCCCCTCTTTCCTCGACATCTGCAGAGATAGAACAAAACTAACCTGTATCTACTAGCAGATAGTAACAGTCCAAAGTGCAATTGATTGTAGGAGTCATAGGTATCATGGCATGAAAAGTATGCTAATTACTTACTCATTTTATTGTTTGAGCCTGTATTTTACCTCAAAGTAGAAACCAAATATATGGAATATGTATCTTTACTTATAACAGCAGGAAGCAACAATACCAACATAACTGTTGTCACTAGTAACTGTACTACTTTGAAACGTTATTCAATCTTTTATTTTTCTACATATATCAGCTCCAATAGCTTGAGCACTCCTCACAGTATTATGTAGAAGACAATCTGTTGTGAAACCTTACTGGTCTGGCCACCTTCCTCTTCCATAGTTCCAAAATGCATTGTTTGAGAAAACCTACCATGACACTAGTCTCAGAAGGTTCATACAGTTCTCCAAATCCTGCTGCTATTCAAGCAGGATACACCACAAATTAATTAGTTTTACTCTATCAAGGTGAATCTGTATCATCCAGATTTCTTAAATAAATCCTAATTTATAATGATGGAGCCCCTTTTTTAATATGTTGGTTTTACATATTGAAGGATTTGAACCATTCGGAATTATGCATTCTGGAGTCAGCTATTTGTGCTAGGAAAATTGGTTGAAAGATTGCAGTTAAGTTTATTTTATATCAACTGCAATTGCACTTGATCTCAATCTTAATTACGTGTTGCAGAAGTATAATAAATGATAGTAACATAGTCATTCACCATGCAATTGAATTTGAATTTTGTTTTTAGGATGGCTGTAGCAAGAGGAATGTGTTGGAGAAGCCTCATTTTTTTTTCTTGTTTTGTAACTAAACCTGTCAGTGCCTAGGAGTTCTCCTCTGCACATATACACTGCTACGTTATCTAAAACAGCATTCTTTGTAATCAGCTCGTCCACTTCCAATTGCTGTTGAAGGTGTATTTTAACATCCTCTGCAAGGATGCCTAATCTGGGGCCAACATGAGCTGCTACATCCCTTAACCCAAAGTAATATACGTCCTGGCCTGGTTGTATGGCACTCACACAAGTTTGTATCACATTAGATGTAGAATCTATTTTGGTTTTATGCTGATTACTATCTAGTGCTGTCATTATTAAAAATGAAAGGCAGGATTTAGTATTTCGTGGCAGTTTAGATGCATGTAAACTATGTTCCCTGGGTCTTCTGGCTCCGTTTGGGCTAATCACCTTGTGTCTGCCTGTGCTATGTATGGGATTTGGATCACTTAATTTATCTTCCCCTTTTGCTTTCACCTTTCACATTAGTGCCATGGCTATGACATATCTTAAATCATGTTTGGCAAGTGGATTCTGCTGCATGCAAGTAATCCTTGAAGAAACTTGAGTATCAGTAAGGCCAAAGATTATACTATCCATCCACAATGCATATACCAAAACCTATAAATATTTATGAACAGGTCCACAATCAATGGAACAGCAGAATTGATGACGTTATTTCTGAATACGGGAATGAGAGTCTGGCTGAGCAGGAACCTGTGTGGAACATTCTGAATGCTGTGCAGCAAAATGTAAGAAAAAACCCCACAGAATATCACGGCCAGAGATACTGGGCAACCAAAAAAAATATTTATACTAATCAGAACTTGTTTTAAAAAAAACAACTAATTTAGTAAAGGATTAACTTTTCAAGATCCACTGCTAATACCTGATGTAGATTAGCAGATTCCTTGCTATTATATAGGTTATGATGAATGAGATCAGGCTTTTGGAGGACTTGTCAATACATGTGGGAGCAGACAGTTCTGGCCACTGAAGTTTACTGCAGATGGATTTCCTATTATCTTTGACAGTGCTAGACATTGTAAATCACTTGATCTGCTTAGGTCCCAAGACTGACCTGAATCATGGACAAGCAGAAACTCTATAAGATCATTGCAGAGATCCTTCTGTGAGAAGGCATTTTGATAGGTGCACTGAAATTCTCTCAGAAATAATGCTTAAATACTCAAATGAACTTGTGAATTAATACTTTTAGCACACATACTTAGTTATTAGTCATAATAATTTTTGTGGCCTGGCAGCATGTAATTTGTTCCCTTTTTCAGTAAAGTCCTTTAAAGCATTTGTATGAATCAATTATTTTCGGAAGTTGCTAGCGATGATTTTGCCTGCTATGCACCCTGCAAATTTATTCTGCATCATGACCTTTTAATTACAAACACTACAGCTTCACAGTTTACTATGGTTTAAGATGCTTCTATAGACCACCTGTAAGTCCCTTAGTATGCCTTTTTGGAGAGGTGAGTTACGTAGTTCTTGACAAATGTTGAAAATAACTTATGACTCCAGATAACTTACAAAACATGTATGTCTAGACTCAAGATTACAAATGCATTTTTCATGTGTATTTAAAATCAGTTCTTTGAAAATCCAGTCTTCTCTTATTGCATCCATGATTTCTCTAGTGATTGATGATGACCCCATTATGTCAATGGTGCGGCTGGACTGAGCGCCGTTATACTTGAGCTCAATTTTATTGCACTGCTGTGGGACTACAGATTTCAGCAAAGCTACCTACCCACCACCTACCCTGGTGGGCATGTTTAAATTGTGCCAGATCTCAAAGTCCTGTGGGTATTTTGCTATTGGTTTCTAAACCATATAAAATACCAAACCTGCTAAGGTGAACTGTAATCACTCTCTTCAGTGAAACACTGCCATCCTCAAGTCTTGAGTTACATGCTGCCAGGTCTTTACAATATCATCAGCATCTGCCACGGGAAAACTAAAAGGCCTAAGACCGTGAATAATATTAGAGAACAACTATATTTTTATATATTCTTGGTAATACTTAATATACTGCTTAAAGCTGGTAGTTTTTTAAACCGAACTTACAGAGTCATTGAAATTGAATGTTTTCATAGAGAAAGGACAGTTTTGGCTAAATTATCTAATTTTTCAAAATCTAGAAGCAGTGTATCTTGAATTGACTCTTCAAAACATGAAAATTAGATACTTTATTTTTTTTTTTTTTAATTATCTGGGCTATAATACAGCATATTTTTTGTCCCACAAGACAATTAAACATTTCTGAAGTTTTATCCTGATTCAGAATGAAAAACTGCTGGAATTTCCTACATTACAATAATTCCCTTCTCCAAGCTGTTTGATTGTTCGCTTTTGTGTTACTGGTATTAAAAAGTTTATTGGGGAAAGTTGGCAAATAATCCATTTGAACAGGTTGCAGTATTTGCTTTCTGCTTCAAGTTTGAGCTATGTGTTCACATGAGACTAATTGCTGCTAAAACACAAGTTAGAATAGGGAGACTTTCTAAAGTCACTAAGAGCAGAGAATTTTTGCAAACATGACATTAGAAGTGACAGAGGAATAGCCAGAAGTTTTCAAAATCTGGTCTTTACATAAGTTTCTAGATCAGAGTAAAACAGTGTCTGTGTTATTATTTTTATTTATTTATTATTTTTATTTTATTTATGTTTCATGAAATCTGTCCCCATTTACTGCATTCATTACGAAATCACATTCATTATGTTTACAATAAAATATAGGTTTTGTTTTGTTTGGTTGGGTTTTTTGTGTTTTTTTGTTTTGGTTTGGTTTGGTTTTTTACATCAAGTGAGCACATCCTTAGTATAACTTACTGAAATTATGTTGGGAAGTTTAGAGTGGTAGTCAAAATGTTTTCCTTTAATCTGGGTTTGTAAGTTTTTGCTTTTTCTATTTACATGTGTCCCAGAATAACTTGGAGTCTAAAAGAAAGTTCATTTCAAATGTATGTTTTAAGATCATATTGTTCTTGAGCCTGTATTATCCAGTGCATATAATAAGAGATGATACATACACAAGGATGCATCATCCCAGCAGAAACCTCTCTCGCTGAATACAGAGGGAAGCTGTTTTGCTAATCAACTAAGAACTAGCAGTCATTGGGGCGAAAATTCCTCTTTGTGACTGTCTTTGTTGGAGTTGGAGTGTTGGAGTTACCAAGATTTTTATTCTAGATGGAATGCTGTGGAAGATATAATGTCACACAGTGGGAAAGGAATGAAAACAAGGGAAGTATTACTCAGATCCCATGTTCATGCACAAAATCGAATCTGAAGAAATGGTTTTGTGATGTCCCAGGGGAATCAATATACAGTATGGTAAGAAATAAAAAAATTGTCTTGAAGAATGTAACTTTTACTAATTGAAATTGAAATTGAACTAATTGTTTTGTTTTTGGTCATTCTGAAGCCTTGATTTTTACTCATTAGTTATCAGTCATGTAGACAGTTCTAAATTGAGGGTACTTCAAGAAAAAATGTTCTTGGTCAATATCACAGGGACATTTAGCAGTGGTTTAAGAAGCAGTGAGAATCTTGGCACTCAGAAACACGTGGTGCAAATAAATTATGACAATGGAAAGTGATAGCATATAAAAAAGTATATAACACATTTTCCACTTGTAATTACTATTTATTACTTACAGGCTGTCAGCAATGTCTCCATCTGTTTGCATTATCTTTTTTGCAGAGTATCTCCAATACTTTACAGGATAAGAGGAATGAACAAGGCATTGAAATCTGAGATTTGTTTCCTGAGACGTGTTCATGTTATTTCATGTTAATAGGACTATCCAATGAGAACAAAAAATCGATGGGCAAAGGTTGTATCATGACAATGCAGGACAATAAATAATAGAAAAGATGTTGTCAAATGACATCTGGTATTGTCTTCCTTTGCTCATCAGTTTGGATTTGTTCCCTGTTAGTGAAAACTCTTGTCATCATTATTAAAAGTTCACATCTATTGATATATTTTATTCTATAGCTGTTTTAATCTATGTAATAACTTAGAGTGTAATTTTTAAAATCAACATAATAAACATAGATTGTAATCTGAAAAATACGCACAACCATTTCAGGAGGCATAATGCATGAGAATCAATGAAAACATGAAAATATTCTTTCAGGCATTTACTTGTAAGGTAATCTCTCAGTTATACTCACGCAAAAGCAAATTCTCTTTTGATTAAGCCACAGGCTCTGGAGCATTTCCATACAAAAATATCACATTTACTTAAGAACAATCTGTCTGTTCAGATATTTGAAAAAATGTAAGAGGTGACTCTCCGCAGCACACATTACTGATTTATTTCCTTTCTGGCATGTTAATATCAGAACCCACCATAACAGGCAGAAAGTTCTATTCTCTATATTTTTAAGGTATTGTATTATAAAGATGCAATAAGAATTCAAAAGTTAAAATTACTTTTCTTGAAATCTGTTCATCTCTACTTGCTTAGGGCTGTGAAGAATATTTAAATACATGGTTTGAAAACAATGTTTTCATCTTAGCTGCAATTTTTATCAGCCTGCTAATGACACAGGTAAGAGTACTTTAAAGCAAAAAAACACAAAATATTTATGTTCTGCTGGGGGAATATAGGTATTCATTGCTATTCAGTTTTGGCATGCTTTCCAAAATTTTGTAAGACGTTCCATCAATTTTAATTAGAAGTAACAGCGAGTACTGTTTGCCAACAAACTCCCAGATATTCAAGCACCATCCCAGATGTTGGTGTCCAAAGTTTGTTAGTCCATCAATATACTAAATCGAACAATATAAAATCATGAAACCCGTCCCCCCATATCTATGAGAAAATTCTGTTGGATAAAAAGGGATCAAGCTTTCAATATCAAAGTCATATTAATAATAGCAAAAATAATTGATTGTTCATGCCACAGACACCCCGATGGTTGAGTAGTTTCAAGCAGGCAGAAGGATTTTTGATAACATGTAAAATTGTGAGGTTAAAAATGAGATTAGTTCATTTTTATTCTGAGAATTAAAAGTATGATCTATTTTACCTCTTCCATATGTAGTAGCTTCTCATAGATGTATGTAGTAAAAAACTTCTGAGCCAGTTCAGTAGTGAAAACGTTTCTTATTCATACTCAGCTAATCCTCACTAGTGCAATAGATGGGTGTCTTGTGATCTTCAATGTACTATCACTGAATCCTCCTTGTCAGATGGGAAAGAACTTTTATCTCCATTGAAGAGGTTAAGACCAGAATCATAGAATCACAGAATCTTTTATGTTGGAAAGACCTTTAAGATCAAATGTTACTGTATTTGGATTCATAGGGCACTGAAGCAGCACGTAATTGAGTTATGTGTCACTTGAACTAGATTTCAAGCTACTTCTGTGGATGTGGGCCCAAGTGACTTGCTGGAGGTCACACAGCAAACCTATGCCAGAGCAGAGAATTCAGCTTGTTTCTTCAGGCGTGTGTCCTGATTATTCTCCTTTATATCCTGCATTGTCACTCACAGGATCAGTTAGCAGTCAGATTGACTCAGTTATGAGTATCAACACTTTCTTTGTTGTTTTTAACTCATCCTTTTTCTTTTCTCAGATATTTTTAGTCACAGTAACTTGTCAGCTATTTAGAAACATCAGAAAGAATATTATTTGGCCAGATGAACTGTGAATTCTTTTGAGCATTTATGATGTGCAAGAATTATCTGATCCCTGCCTGTGACAGTCAACAGAATTACTTCCACTAAGATCTGGATGGGTTCTACATATTGTAATCACTAGGATATCAACATTTGGGCTTTAAACTGCTTGTTTATTGTTCATTGTTATGTATATGGTAATATGCTATAACACAGTGTATATTAAAGTCTGAAGTACTATGCTATTTACTGCCCATTTAACAAAACTTATTGATAATCTGAGTATCAGTTTCCCGAGTCTCTGGAACAACTTGTTCAGAGTGTTGCAATCAGTACTGTATAGTATACTCCACTTTGAAAGAGAAGGAACCCTTCATCAGACTAAGTCAAGAAAAAATATTTACTAAACATTCCTGATACTTCTTCCAGCCTTCATCTTTCCTTCCAGTCCTTCTTCATTTTGACATTGCAATTTAATCTCAAAAAATTTCACTGAGTCTCATAAATACTGGACTCTTAGCAAGTCTTTTCCAGGAAGGTTTGTAAATGAACATCTTTCTTACTGAATAGCTCTTACCATTAATTTAATCAAATGACTTCAATGGTTTAGTGCAGTAAGCTTTAAAGCCTAAAACATTATGGAATATCTTGAGGAAAACTGAGTAAGGTGTGGTATTACAAGTGTATGTGATAGCATTGTTAATGATATTTTGTCTAAAACTTCCCATTTCAGTAATCCATTTTCTGATGCTTATAAATTTGGTAACTTCTTTGTATTTAGTTGAAAAAAAATCAATTTGAAGTGCCTGCCACAGAGAGAACTAATAAAACAAATATGTCGATTCAGAGGTGAATGGTGTGCTTGGAACATAACCTGAATTCCAAACTTGTAAATTTTTTCTGCCATGAGGAAGAATCTAAGGAACAGAGTAATGAAGTCTCTTATCCCACTCTGAAGTTTATGTGCATTAAGAATGACATATTCCTGTTACCTTGATGTCTGTGATGATTTAAGAGGTTTTAATCTTATTATTGATGTAATTCAGTCTCAGAAGACCAAAAAAAAAATAATAATAAAAAATGAAGGGGATTTTTTTCAGTAATCTTAATTTTGCAATATACAGAGTACTTCAGAAAATTAATACCAAGAATCTAAATTTTAGCTCCGAAGTATAATTCTGAAATATAAAGATAAGCTAACTTCACTCTAGCAAACAATGCATTTAAAAATCAGTATGTAGCTGAAGCCAGCATTTACATCTTTGCTTAGTCTTCTCCTTTACAAGCTGAAAAAGCCCATTTCTCTCAGCCTCTCCTCCTATGTCATGTGCTCTGGACCACTAACTATTTTGGGGTACCTCTGCTGGAACTGCTCTGGTAAAACAATGCCTTTCTAGTGCTGGATACCACAGAACTGGATGTACTACTTACAAGAGAAGAAGAATCATTTCCCTCAGCTTGCTGACTGCACATCCGCTAATACAGCCCAGGATGCAATTGGCCTTCACTGCTGGGAGAGCACACTGCTGCTGACTCATGTTCTATTTGTTTTCTGGCAGGTGCCCTAGGTACTTACTGTAAATGTGCTTTCTTTTCATACTGCTGTATGGGGTTATTTCATCCCAGATATCTTTAGGGAATTAATTCCCTGTCAGCCCATTTCTTCAGCTTGTCAAAGTCCCTCTGAATAGCAGCTTTGTCCTCCAGAATACTGACTGTTCTCCCTACAGGTTGCTTTCATTTGCCGAGCTGCTAAAGGTGCAGTTCATCCCATTAATCATATCTTTAACGGAATTGCCTCCAGTCTTGATCCTTGAAGGGTGACATAATTAACCAGACACCACCTCAGATTTATTCTGCTGATCACAATAATTTTAGCCAATTTTTCTCCCTAGTCTTCTTACCTTGTCCAGGTATCATCACTTTGGTTAGAAGGATATTATGGGAGACCATTCTAAAGACCTTGTTAAGGTACTTAGTGCTCATTATGCCTTCAACTCCTACTAAGCCAATCATCTCATCATAGAAGGTAATAAAGCATGGTGAAATGTAATTTGCCCTTGGCCAAGCCAAGCTGGTGGTTCCCAGTGACTTCATGTTCTTCATGTACTTGGAAAGAGTTTCCAGGAGTTGTCTTCTAAAATTCTAACAGTGTAAGGGGAGGCTGACTACCTTGTAGTTGTTCCCCATACCCTTCATGTCCTTTTTAGAGATGGGTGTGACATTTGTTTGTCTTCAGTTGTCAGGAGTCTTCCCCAAACACCATAACATTTTGAAGATGGTAGAAGGTGGCTGCTCAGTGATTTCTGCCAGGTCCGTATGGATCCAAAGACTTCTGAGTGTCCAACTTGTTGAAGCACTCAAGCTTCGGTACACACTATACTGTGGGTTATTATGTCCTCCCTCAAGATCCTCCTACTAGGCTCAAGGACCTGAAGACAAACACTGCCTGTAAATACAGAGTACTTTACTATTATCATATCCTTTATCTCTAGGTCCCCCTCCCTACTGAGCAATGGGTCCACAATTTTCTTATATCTTAATTTTGATGCCCATCTACTTACAAGAAGCCTTCCTTGTCACAGTGTTTCTCTTCCTCCTGGGTATCTCATTGCTATTTCCACCTTCTATATGCTTCTTTTTTTTGTGTTTGAGACCAGTTGACCACTATCCATACTAGCCTTCTGCCACACTCAACATTCTGCACATCACAATGGATAGTTCTTGCATTCTGAAGAGGTTGTCCTAGCAAATCAGCCAGCTTTTTGAGGCCACTTTACTCTTTATCATAGTCTCACAAATGATCCTGCCAAGCAGATACCTCAGCAATCACTTGCTTATTTTAGGATTTTAGAGTCCACAGTCTCATGGTCATTGCAGATGAGACCCTTGATCTTTGGATTTGCAACCAATTCCTCCTTTTTTTTTTTTTTTTTTTTTTTGTGAATAACAGAACCAGCAGATCATCTTCTCTAGCTGGACTGTTGATCACCTGCTGTTCAATCAATATTGTCAACACACTCCAGAAATCTCCTGGGTTGCTAGAGCAAGCCATATTGCCCTTCTATCAGATGTCAGGTGGTTTCCCTGAGTGCAGGGATCAGCAATCATGAGGTTTCCTCCTTCAGTTGCCTAAACAAGACTTTGTCTCTGGTAGGTATGTACCATGGCATCACCTGCATTGGTTCATCTTCTGATCCTTGCTCATAAAATCTCAACTGGATCATCAGCCCTTCAAAGGCAAATCTCTGTGAATTCTTCCTGACATAGCAAGTCAAATTAGCAAGGGAGTGTCTCCCTCAGAGAGCTACATTTTCAGAAATACAAGAATATTTTGGTCAGTGAGAATTAGCTTCTGCCGGGGTACAAATACTTCTGTTCAGTCTACCCGGCATGGTTCTTCACTAGTCTAGCGCAATAAATTGCATGTAAATCTAGTAAACACCATTCATGTTTCACTAGTTCATTACACTTAAAGTAATTAATTATGCACATCCCTTATTTTAAAAGGATATGAAGGATGGGATTATCTGGGTAAATGCAGCCATGAAAAAGTTCAGCAAGTATTCTAGTGCATGCGGACAGTAAGGTAATCCTGCAGAATAATTCATTCTAGAATTGAATGACATCTTCTAGAAGTATCTTTATTTTTATGGTTTGAGTAGGAGCCTAGTTGCACTAGTTTATAGTTCCCACAACCTGAAGTAGTTAACATGAGATTAATGGGATTCCACTTTAGTATTACATAATCTGGAATTCAGGAGGCCCCAAATAAAATCACATGTGGAATCTGAATTTGTTCCTAATGTGGCTGTGTTATAAAATGATTTTCAGTTATGCACTCACATACTGGTTTTCCTCAGTAGGCTAAAATCCAAATTCCATGAAAATGTTCTGTGGTCTGTATTCAAATATTACTTTAGGATGAATAGAAACAGCTCCTATTGTCACAATTTGTCATGCTCAAGTAGAGAAGAGTGTGCTTTAGTATGTAAGAGAATGCTACACAATACCTACCAAGACCTGTCATCAACATTCACAACAAAATGTACATACTGGCTGCTCAAATCTCCAGCAAGCACACAGGTAATTAGATAATAGACATATATGTGTTTGCAAGAAGATGATGTATAAAATTGGCAATACTGTTGCACATGCTGCTGGTGCTTAACAAGAATAAGTATAAAAATATCACTATTTATATAATACTTAATGTAAAGGAATAAGAAAAAGTAGAGGACAAAAGTTGTAGGATGGAAAGTTTTTGTTGTTTTTTTTTTTTAAGTTTAAAGATCAGAAAATGCAAACCAGTATTTGTTTGCCAGTTTGTGTAATTCCCATGGGTAGACACTAGAGGCCACAGGGAGTTTAAGAATAATACAGGACGTAGAAAAATAGTAAGACCTACAGAATGCCATAACACACACACCTTACATATAGTCCACACTTAAAAACATACTTAATCTGAAAGTTATAGCCATGTAGCAGTGCACTGTCAGAGAAGGTGATGTTCAGAGGCAGTGTGCTTCAAAGGAATGGCATGGGAAACAACTCACAATAGCTGTATTAAAGCTCAACGGATAATGAGTGGACCCATTGCAGCTAATTTAGAAATTATATTACAAAACCTGGGAGATGTTCCTAAATGTATTATTAGTGTGAAAGGGCAGGGGAAAATCGTAACTTCATATATTCCCTATACAGATCAATACAGAGAGGACTGCAAACTGGTTATACAGTGACTTTCATGTAGCCTAAAGCCTATACTTATATATTGTAAAGGTATAAAAGCTATGCTTATGTACTGTATATACTACTTATAACCATACTGCTCATCTCCTGAGGGACCAGATTCTGCAGTTGCCATAGGACATTTGTCACTTGCGTTTGCTACTTATCCAAAGCTAATTTAATCAATGGCATTGGTTCCGCAACTGTCACGTGTATGTTCTGAATGTGAAGCTCCCGTAACATTATAGACAAATATACTCCAGTGCAAACTTCATGAGGAACAGTTTCAGATACATTAAAT